CCCGAACACTGAGACAGTATTTCCTGTGTCCCCCTGCAGGTTCCCAAGCAATACTCCGACATGTATCCTAACGTCACCATCGAAGGAAGACAGATATTTTCAGGTAACCCACAATTTGTTTGACTTTTCTCTCTTTCAATTGCCTGCTATTTTTAGAAAAGATTATATCATATTTTATTATATGCTCCTTCCAACAAAAAATGCTGTAGGTTTTCAGACCCATTCAGTGTTGAAGAATAAAGTATCAAGACCATTTCATCATAATATGGACCGAGAAAAGAATTTAAAAATTTACAACCACACGCCAGAGAAAGAAATATGTGTTAAAAGCAACGAACACATGCAGGATGTCTTTCTGGTGTTGACAGTCAGTATCGCACAAAACTCTCAGACTGAATATCTGTTCTCTTTTACTTCTTCCGTGCCTAAACCTGGCTTGCTCTTCAGCGATTTTTCTTCCGCTGAACTAAAACCTCTCTACTTTTATATCATGACTGTACAACGCTCAGAACTTGTTTCCAATTGAATAGAGCGCTCCAAAAGTGATGTTTTTTAAAATCATTTTATCATTACGGTTTGAACAGTTTACTTAGCATATCTCATGGCCCCTCTCCCCCTGAAACACTTCCCTCCCTCATGAACAGGCATGGTGACAGCTGCAGACGACGTCGTGGGTCGGATGGTCAAGGTGCTGAAAGAGAAGGCCATGTTTGATGACACCATTTTCTTCTTCACCGCTGATGTGAGTGCTTTTGGGGGCGGGAAGGGTGGTTGGAGGTCGTCGCTTGTAATTTGTACTCTTGTTCTTCTGTTCAGAATTTTTTTAATGACATTACGAGCTTTGATAAAATTGAAAAAATGAGAACACCGCCAAGGTCAAATAAATTCGAGAAAATGAGCAAAACCCTTATTCGTGAAATGCAAATAAGTAAGTTCCGATTAGAGGGCTAAGATGAATTTTATATTGGACTTGACCTTGTTGTTGCATTCTTCGCATCTTTGAACAAAAATAAGTGGGCGTAGGAACAGAATATCGCTTCGTTAGTGATATTAATAGATAAGCCCTTTGTCACCGCTTTTGTCGATAAAGTTTTCAGGAAAATGTGGTTTAACCTTGTTGTTTTTCTCAGGTCTTCAATTGTTTTCCACCCCTTTAATGTGTACGAGTTTTTGTTATAAAATTATGTGTGTGTCGTTATTCGACTATATATTTTATGACATTTCTGTATTTTGAGAGCCAAGACAGAGTGGTGGCTATGTACCATATTACAGTCGGGCACGGATAACGCAAACATATTCTCACCCACTCGTAATTCAGATTGACTGAAGAAGAAAACTTAAAAAGGTATCAGTTTGGTATGGAAAATTATACGAGCAGTCCATGATTTCGAGTTGTCTGTGACTGTGTTTATCTGTTCCTGTCTGTATCACAGTGGTTATTTTTGGTCTTTTTGAAGTCTGGTGTGGTCATATTCTATTCAGACAGGTGGTAGGATGTCGGCGCCGTTCCGTATCGGTTAAAAAATGTTTGGTTCTCTCATTGCTACAGTGTTGAGCGCATAGAGCTTGCTGTTGAGCAGGGGTATGTGCCATACAATAAATTATGCTATCTATTATTATTATTGATAGCTTGTGAGGCCATCTCTTCAGACCACTGGCTGGATCCAGTACCTTATCACACTATCTACTTTGGGTTTTATTGATGTGCGAATCGTGCTGAAAAAAAAAGAAGAATTATTTCTCGGATTTTAGCCGCGATGGAAAAGTGTCACAACGTGATGGAATCAGGTGCTCCTCGGTTTTGGGGCATATGGGTTTATCGGTATCATCTTAAAGCCTGTTCATTTGCCTTCCTTTTGATTAAAAAAATTCCATCTGAGTTAAATAAAAGTCGAAATATTTACGATTGAATGAGGCCAGGGTTGCCTGGTTTCAAAGGTAAAATTAATTAGAAAATGGCCGCTAAGGTTTGGCAACCTCCAAAGCTTGAAAATCCTTAGAAACTGCAAATTTACCTTTTTGTATCTTATATCAACCTTTTTCAGTAAAATCAACACAGAAATGTATTTTTAAAAGGACCTTTAATGTGTTCAGTCAAAACACAAAAATTCTATCAAAATTGCCATACGGACAGATGTCAGTTTTTTCGATTTCGTTACTTTCACGAGCGCCTGATTTTACCATGATGCCTCACTAACAACTTTGTCAAATTTACAGGTTGAGTTAATACGATTTATTAGTATGAAAGCACATGTTTAACTTGAATGTAGAATGGCATCAATTAAACATCTACAAATTTGACTCGTGTATCGATTTCCAATCGAAATCTCCCTTAGCGGATAGTGAGAAATACGTCATGTTTTTCAGCACATCTCATTGTGGCTGATGTATGCTCTGGTGTGGTTTTCTCCTACTTTCCTACCAAACAACTATTGTTCTTATTTCTCCTCCTTCTTTTTGTGTTTATCTTTGGCACTTTGATGTTCCTTATTTTGTTCCTGTTGGTGCTTTACAATGTAATTTATGCTATAGCAGTGTAGCCGTTTCACCTATATTAATGATAATACCACCTTGCCTATAAAAGATAAATAATAATAACTGCATTCATATAACGTATTATATCCATGATCTACAGCAGGCTCTATATATCTGCTTTACAACTCTTGTTATTACCCCCAGCAGACCCTAAAATACGAAGAAACATTCTGGGTTCTCGGGGAAGCATACATAACGAGCATCCAATCAAGTGCTAAAAAAATGACAAACTGACGTGATCTCTTGTTGTCTTTAGTCAGGTAACTCTAGCCATTCCTGCCTGGATGGTGAAAAATATATAATAGTGTAAAGGACCTTTCACAAGAACACAATGTCAGGCCCCTGTCGCAAGTACCGGGATGATGAAAAATATTAATTGTTTAAAGTGTCTTTTCCAAGATCACAATGTCGACCCCTGCTGCAAGTGCCGTAAAACTTTAACTAGAACGAAAAATATCTCCACAGAATGGTGGCTGGGTATCGTTCCATGGAAACAACTACCCCCTGAGGGGTAGCAAGTTCACCATCTGGGAGGGCGGCACCCGTGTGCCCGCCTTTGTGCACGGAAAACCTCTGCAGAAAACGGGAGTGAGATATGAAGGGTAAGCAATTCTGTATAATTTATTAAAAAGTGGTGCGACTCATGCGGTTGTTCAGCTGTTCAATACTTAGAAATAACATAACATGATAGAAGAAAGGTAATCAGCTGTTCTATATTTAGATACATCGCGAGAGACTTGACGATGTTAGTGTTGATAACATTGGTTAGGATGTTTACAATGACGATGACAATGATGATTGCAATGACTGTTTTATATTTAAAGATGCATCACGACGGACACGACGTTAATGACAATGTGGACAATGGGATGACATCGATAATGATGTTGACAGGTTACAATGATAGTAATGGCATTGATGATGATGTTGGCTGCAACGATGATAGTGATGGCATTGATAATGATGTTGGCAGCAACGATGATAGTGATGACATTGACAATGATGTTGTCAATAATGAAGACAATGATGTTAACGATGCTTCTACTTGTACGTTTCAGTCTGATGCATGCTGTTGACTGGTTCCCCACAATTCTGGAGGCAGCGGGAATAAGTTACTCTGGTGAGGAGAAGCTGTATCTTGATGCTTTTTTCGGGGGTGGGGGAG